CGGCTCAGGCCACGGCTATGAGCAGACTCGGCTCTCCGACGCCGTCTTTCTCTCGGCTTTCGGTCGCCTTGTGTGCTGTCTGAGAGGAGTGATGAGCCAATGCCAGCTGCTGCTGCACCGGCTGCGGCAGCCTTGAGCATGTCACCACCACTTCGCTTGGGTGTAACATTCTCATTATCGTATTGATAGTCATCTTCAATAGAATCATGGCTCACATCAGAGTTGGCTTCGAGGACATGACGAGCCTCTCTATTGCGTCTATCCTTTGGCTCATTCCGTTGACCTGACGACCGCCGGCGGTCGGGGGCTAACTCATCCTTCGATACTGATGTGGCAGATGAAGTAAAGGAATCGCGTCGGCTCTCCCTCTTGCTGGTCTCTCGCTTTAGAGCATTGAGCTCAGGCAGAATCAAGCGGCGAATGGCGTCTTCAACTGTTTCGAGCAGCTTGGGGTTGTTGATCGATGATTTGGAGACATCTGAGCGTGAGGAATGTGTTGCGTGGGTGCGATGGCTGGGAGCCAAATGAGAAGCTGAGACATTCGAGTCAAGTCCCGACACATTAGATTCCTGTTGACTTCTGCTAGAGCGACGGCGATGGGCTTTAATAGGCTCCTCTGTCCTCTCAGAAACACTGCTGGTCCTACTCTTTGGTCGACGCTTTCTTTCCGCTGTCGACTTTTCCCTCGACGACTTTGTTTCCGACACCTTTGACCTGTCTCTGTTTCGACTCTTCCGGTTCTTCAACTCATCCACTGCAGCACCTGCAAGTGCACCGGCGCCAGCTGCTGCAACCATCTCTCGTGTTGCAGATGGACTGTCGCCCTTGGCGTCGCCGTCGAGAAAGCTGTCAGATGGGATGGCGGAGATGTCCGAAGCGTTGACGTTGTAGGTCTCCGAAGGGATCAATGGGCTGGCAGGTCGTCGTCGTCGTCCAGTGTGACTACGATCAATCTCAATGTCAATTGGATTTCTCGAGACGTTCGACTCTTCGGTAGCAGAAGCGTAAGAGCTCATGCTGTTGCCGTCGTCCCCGTCAAAGTATTCAGAATCTCCCAATGGTATCCGTCGAGTCACAGAGGTGTTGCGAGCGCCTTTTGTTTCTGTGACTTGAAGATGGTGATCGGAACGGCCTCTCTTGGATGGTGTAAGGCGGACACGGACACTAGGACGTCGCTCGCCTGTTGAACCGACAGTTGACTTGCCACCTTCGAAGTACTCGATGAGCAATGAGGTCTGAGATTTGCTAGCCTTGTGTCCACGGGTAGCAATGGTGACGGGTGTTCCGTCTTCGGGAATGGAGTAGGAGGACTTCTCGTCACCGGGATTCACCCCATCCACCGTTGTTGTGAGATCGGTGGGGGTGGTATTAGTCTCGGTTTCGGTAGGGGCGGGAAGTGGAAGAGATTTTCTGGAAGATACACCCATCGTAAATCTGGTGAGGCTCTTAAGTGGAGGTGTTTCGGGGCCCTTTCTTCCCAGGACTGCGATCCGGAGCGGATGCAGAGAAACACCGATGGGAGAGGAGGGGTTGGTTGATTAATGGTTTGATATCAAGACATGCGGAATCAAGACGCAACAAAGATTGTCTAGCAGGACATGTCAGTAAACCCGAGTGCCCAACGGAGGAGAAGTAACGGTGTAGGCCAATTATATGGAGTAACGAATCGCCACCGGCGTTGAAAGCGACTCGCTCGACTCATGAAGCGGAGAAGGGTAAAGCAACGGTCAAGGGAAAGGGAAGGATGAGAGACTTACAAACAAACGACCCGATTAAAAGAAAAGAAATAACTTTGAACGTCTACCAACTACCCAAAGACTGGACAGTGGATAACGATACCTACTTACTAGCGTCGACAACCGACACGACGCGACTCGACTCGACTTCGATTCGAATTTGACCTGGCCTTAGAAGCCTCAAGGTTCCGTGGGGAATTCGAGAAGGAGAAAGATTTGGGGGAAGGGTTGAGGATGCGACGTGCGGCGTGGTCGATTGTAAAGGATGGTGTGAAGGCTCATGGGATGTGGATCCCGTAAGGTAAGGTCAGGCAGCTCGGCGGGGGGACGCCTGGGGCCTCGGAGGGGGCTAAGAAAAAAGAATGGGCCAGCAAAGTTGCCCGCAGCAACCAGACCTAGCAATTAACAAGGAACTGAGAACTGAAAACCGCCAGATGTCAGTGTCAGACGGAGCGGAAGAGAGCCGAAACAGAAAATCGAGAAGGGGTATAAGGTGTGATCTAGACTGATTAGGGAAAAAAGGAGCAGGGCATTCAATTTAGGTGCAGTTGTGTCAAGGGGAATCGAGGAGGTTGGGTAAAGGGTCTGGGGGTTGGGGAAAACGGATTGAGTTGATGCAGAACGGGCAGGCCGTTTTTTTGCGATATTGACGGGATATGGAGTAGTTGGTAAACTCACTGGACGCACTAAAGGTTAAAGCTTTAATGAGCGAGGTTTAAAATTATCGATGATGTGTGAATTCGTTGTGTATTGAAAAAGATCTTGATGTCTCTGAGGTAGGTACTTGTTAGAGTCAGCACAAGTGGAACCAAGAAGCTTAAGAGGTTTTAGGTGTTGTCGATTGTGAGCATGGATCTCTCCAACCAAAGATGCAAACTCTTCTGTGTATTGCTCTAAACAACACCAAATTTACTCCGGTTGACAACATATATCGATTTGCCTTGTCCTCGAACTCTGGTCATCACATTCTATCCACCCAGCTCAGCGGCTGGGCCCTTGAGATTTTCATTTTCAGGCTAGTGCCTTGGGGTGATGAGTTGTCTCTGGCACCTCTGCCGAGGCGGGCTGTCCAATAGCGCCGGCCCGCCGGGATCCCACCTAGCTCAACACGCTATGCCCGTGGTTCCTCTGCCAATGGACGATCTTCCAAGGGCACGAGAAGAATGAGATATGCACCAAACGTGCAGGAAACATGCAGAGCAGACATGTACAGTAGCGAGGCCCGACGAGTTCATCGTAACGCTCCATGTCTGTGATGCGTGATTTGCTGTGTGTGATGTGATGACCATCCTCATCCCATCCACTCCTCTTTAGTATCGAATAAGCATCCTCCGTCTCTATCAAAACAGGATATTCCAACTAGCGGTCTCCAAGTTGTTGCGTTGCCAGTTGCCACGCAGAACCAGCCTCCTTACCTCTCCAGTATCAAACCACGACAGACAAACGTTGGGCTTCCATCGTCTCTGCTACAACAAAACCCCTGTCGTAAAACGATTCATCTTCTATTTCCCCTTCGAATCAGGTCCCGGCAATCGTCGCACTCCCAAACAATCCTCTTCCCCAGCCTCTCTTTTCACTTGATCACCCTCGTCAATCACTCAAACCCCTGTCCGCCTATTAGTCTTCAGCCGTCCGTCGTTCAGCGCCACGGCCCCAGCTTTGAGCCAGGATTGGAAAGGTGCGGCTGGGCCGGAAAAGAGTCACTCGACTGAGCCTCATTTATTTGACTAAAATAAATTCGACCTTGAGGGTGAAGCCTGTGATGAGGCTGCATTTGTTGACTGTCAGCGCTTCTCATGAGTTCAAAAGTTGCCCAAGTCGCTTCGTGAAGAGTTCAAGATACGCGATATTAGCTGAGCAATCTTATCAAGAAGATCACCAGAGTCCCAGTCAGACCTCCACTCGGATCCATGGATACTTATTTCGCTCTTCTGAGTGGATTGTAGGGCTGAACTCTCACTATACGGACCGGACTTGTCTTCCATAAAACACTCGCATTCCTAAGGAATAGCTTAATCACAATGCGACATTCTCTGAATAAAGACAGAGACATACTATTCTCAATAGGTTTCAGTAAAATCACCGGTTCCAAATTTAGTGTTTTAGAAGCTTCTTGGCCGAATCTAGCGTCCAGAGCAAATCTGGACCCTAACACCACCAACCTAATAGATTGACATGTTCCTGAAAATCATCCCTACCACGGCTCAACCTTACTCACATCTGTTTTTCCAACTTGTCGGAGCATAGCCCAAGTCAGAATGTTCGCTTTGTCGCTCACGTTCTGCCCATCGACATCTCCAGCCTCCTCTGTTATCACGCTAAGAAACCATGGCTCCATATGCTTAATTGGCGCCCCCTATATCCCTCCAACCACCTCTTTACTTCCTATTATGGCATTGGCTTATCCCGATCTGTTAGATTTCACTGCAAACAGATATTTGTCAAAATGAGGCGAACTGTGCTTTACCAAGCATCGTGTGAATATTAAGATCGCGCAAACTGCTCTGTGGATCCCCGAGCAAAGACCCTTTCACTCATGCGAGACACATCGAAAAGACATGGGACACCCCTGAAGTTTGGATCCAGGAAAATTTTCAGTTCCTCTGTCTCGTGTTTGACTTGCAACAAGTGTTCTCAGATACAAGGCTGATTCAGCCTTCTTCGCAAAATTCACAGAGTTTTCAAAGGCTTTCAAAAAGCATTACTCCTCAACGTTGCAGCAAGCCAAGGCAAACCGGTAGTACAAGCCCAGAAAAGGACAGTAACCCTTTCGTGGTTTACAGTCCCATGAGTACTGGTCCAGAGCACTTGCAATCTTAGGTTTTTGTAGTTCCTGACTACCTACTGTAGCCATTGCTGCGACCTCATGTGTTGAGTTTAGTTGCTCATCACGACATGCTACTTCCAACATGGCAAGGCCACAAGGAGAGTATCCTTCATCCTATCGGTGCTACTATCTCTTGTGGGAGCTGATCACGGCATCACTGGTGACACCGTCCTCGATGCATGCAGCCAACCGGGTCTTCTGAGGCCACTCGTGTCACACGCAGACGACTCGTATAGCACTCTGCTTCCGGTGGCTTGTAAGAGGGTGACTTCGTCATATAATCTGCAACGATGGATTCTTGGTTCTTCTGCTTGGTTTTTTCTCAAGTGCATTGGGTCGTTGATTCGCATACCAGTGTTCAGGCAAGCTCAAGGCCTAAATTATTGTAGAGGCTAAGACGGGAAAACTTGTCTGAAGAGAGAGAGGGAGTGAGTGTCAGTTCATTGTTCAGTTCAGGTTTGCCACCTACACTCGAGTCTCCTAGACATCTTTCCTCTGTACTACACTGGATGTCTAAAGTGGTCTCGCCAATCGGTCATGCTTGATCGGAATCACGGATATCGGCAGACCCAACTCGACCTCCGGCCCTTGTCTCATGAGATAAAAAGAAAGAATTGTTCATTGCTATACCAATATGAATCGCCTCGTAACCCCATTCCGAATCATTCATTTCCCCGAATACAGTACCCTCCCGGCTCATCCCTTTAACTCCGTTCAAAAAAGATAGGTATAAAACAGTCCAATGAACAAATATACGAGAAGTCATAATTCAGAAGCTAAATCTCAGCAATCAATTTCTTCGACCATCCGTCACTACAGCCGGTGCGGGCTCAGCAGGATACTCAGGCGGCCTGTTCCCAGCTTCGAGATCCCGCAGTTCCAAAGGATCCTGCGTCTCCTTTTTGCCATCGTACGGCGGCGGTGCCTGTCCCAGTTCATTGAGTCCTTCTTCAGACCTGGTGCCGTTCCATGGAGATCGCCGATTCGCCGTTCTTCTTCCACCGCGAAGACCTGTATATACTGGAGCTGTATTCTGACCGGGCCATTGGTTTCCACGACGGCGGCGACGTCGTCTCACTTGAATGATGGTGGCGGTTAGACCGAGGACAAAGATGACGAAGAGAGGAATGAGAACCCAAGCAAAGGGTTGGGCGCCAAATGAGAAGCCGGTATTGTCATCGTCATTGTCGTTTGTTGCCATCACAACAGCAGATGTGTCGTTAAAGTGTTGTTGGATATACTCAATCAGATGAGGCTGATATGTGGTAACTTGGCTAGATTATTTGGTATCTTAGACAAGGGTTGTATGCGATCGATTCTCAAATGGATTTGTATGTAACCAACTTCTTTATTCTTGTTATTTAGTTTGTGAGACGTCAGAAATCAAGGATCATTAAAGTGGTAGATTGTCAAGGTGTGAGGTCAGACAGAGACTTTGATGGAGTGGCGTCATCTAGTAACTCCAATTCCGACTCCAACCTGGACGGGGAGGGCAGCTCTTTGTACTTGTGCGCTCTCGGCTTCTACCTTAAACTTTTGCATTCGTATACCTCCATTACAGAGCCGCGTAGCCGATCATCCCCCACTGTCAAGGTGACTTCATCATAGTGGCTTAGTAGCTTATCTGGATGTAAGGACCGTTCAATGTCGCCGTCCGCCGGTGGAGCCGGGATAAATTGACCGTCCGTCACCTGTTCTGTCTATGATATCGATGATAGACACAGCCCAGTCAGACCTGCCAGATTGAAGAATGCCAAGAGCTAAACGAGAGGACTTGACATGAAAATCGAGCCATCACAGCTTCTCGACTCTGCCTTGGACTAGTGGCGTATTGAGTATGAGCAATGCCACTTACAAGGAGTAGTAATACGCTGCAACAGTCATGTATAGAATACGCCCAGCTACGGAGGCGATTAGATAACATTTGTTACCCGATTTGCCACATTATTTCGGTTTCCCACTTGAACAACTCTGCAAAACCAGGCAAATTACAGTGGCTATGCCGATGCGCAGGTGAAGGATGAATAAACATTATTTGGAATGGCCTCTGATGATTTCATGCACGCTCTAATAGCAGGTGGTCCGTGCATCATGCAAGGCTCCCATTAACTCCACCGTTTTTCTGGGGGAAGCGTCAACCATAACTTGAACTTAAACCTCATCATAATCCTTCGAGATTTTTGGGATATCTTGCTGCGCTTCTACCAATTAACCCAAGATGCCTCGCGCGATCAGAGGTTTGTCTCACACCATTTTCTGGCCATTGCATATCCGAGCTTACCTATCCTAGGCGTTCTTATCGAGTGCGATCCTTCGATCAAGTCCATCATCGTCAGCATCGACAGTGCTAACCATGACTACATCATTGAAGATCTCGATGATGAACGCGTGGTTGTGAAAGAGAACATGGTCTCAATGCTCAAGCATAAGCTCGAAGAAGTACGTTTGATTACTAGCATCCTCTTTACCCAAGTTACTTGCGACTGGAAATCGGCTTTGTTCGATTAACACATACACAGCGACTCAAAGAAAACCTTCCTCCTGAAGAAGAATCCGGCTCCGAATAAGCTTGAAGCTATGCAATCACTGAACTACCTACACGTACAAATTTCATGCCCGAACGACATGCGTCGATGGTCCTCTCGAACCCCTAAACTACAACTTCTCAAACCTCGGCTTCGTCTTCTTCAATCCACTCATCAACGCCAGGGAAAAGTCCTTGCCCTGTACAGCCGCTGCATTCCATACCTGTGTATACCTCAAGCTCTCAGCAACAGTATGATCCCTGCCGTGATTGAGCAGCTCCTTCGTTCCCTGTACAGCAACAGGGCTCTTGTCAGCAAGTGTGGTTGCCAGAGCCACAGCAGCCTGCACAGCCGCCTGTTTGCCCTCGTGAACCTGGCTCACGAATCCTACTGACAATGCTTCCTGTGCTGAGAAGTCTCGCGCCGTGAGACAAACATCCTTGACCCATGATGTTGAGCCAACAAGCTTGGGCAGACGTGCCAGGGTTCCAATATCAGCGGCCATGCCAATGTCGACTTCCTTGACGGCGAAGCGTGTGTTGGAGGCGCAAATGCGGATGTCAGCGCAGCAGGCGATATCAATAGCAAGGCCAATAGAAACACCATGAAGCACGCAAATGACAGCTGTAAATTTAATCCCATGTATAAGTAATCCATCTTCGCAAATCGTCGGACGAGTGACACTTACGTTTCTCACACTTCTCCATAGCACCAATCGAATCCTGAAACTCCTCAATGTGGTTTCTCACTACCTTTGCCTTTTTGGCAATATCCGCCTGAGAACCAAAGAGGATTCCATCACTAGACGCAGACTGCACGTCCAAGCCTGCGGTAAAGGCTCGATCGCCAGCGCCGCTGACTACAACAGCACGAACGTCTTCATCACCGCTGAGCTGCTTGAAGACACGTCCAAACTCAAGCCATAGTTCTTGGGTAAAGGCGTTGAGCTTTTGGGGTCGATTTATCTCGACATGAGCGACGAAAGGGTTTGGTGAGCTGACAATTATGTTTTTGTATGACGTGTAAGCGGGGAGAGGTGTGGTGGAAGACATTGTGGACCTTCAACTCAATTGCGATTACGTTGAAAAGAGAAGAGCATGAATGGTATTGTAAGAGTACTTATAAGGGATGAAGAATCTCGGGCTAAACTGTCCCATGGGGTAGCTTGATCTTGGCTGCGACATAGCCCAGGTCAGAGGTGGGCTACTGATGGAGATGCCGAGGTTCCTACCAATTCTAGCCACGCTCTACGGCTAACTCTCACTCACGTGCGATATGATTAACCGTTGCATGGTAGATACCTACAAACAACTTTATAAAGTTACGATTATACAGAGTATATTATCGAGGCAGTGGAGATTCTTATCATGTTAATGAAAGTCTATTGAATATGCTTCCGCACCAAATCCTTTTAACTGAAACGACAAAGGCGATAACCGCCCAGATAGCATTATAATCATTTCCGGGTCGTCTGCCCTGCCTGGGCTAGACGCCAATGCTCCTGGTGAAAAAATACGAACCCGGCGTGCCCAGCGGAGCGCACCTAACTAATCAAGCGCTCTTCCCCTGCATCTTGTGCCTATCATGAAAACCAAGAGGGGGGCCTAAATCATAACTCTGACCAAACGGCAATCCTCACACTAACAAGGAAAACAAATAAAGAGACGGCACGCCTGCCATCTACAGCAAAAGGGTTCCGACGAGGGTGAAGAGAGTGGCAGCAGCGGAGACGTACAGAGCACCGAAGCCAAGGTTAGCAGCACCGCTGTCGTCGTCATCACCAGAGGCAGAGGCCGAACCGGTGGATGTGGAAGAGCCCATGGCAACGCTGGCAGTGGCGGTACCGCTATCAGTGTCGAAGTGAGATCCCTTGCCGTTGATGCCGGGGCCCTTGCCAGCACCGTCCTTCATGTACTTCTCAGCCTCAGAGGGCATCTCGGGGAGGTAGCTGGGGTCGACCTGCCAGACGGACTCAGAGGTAGGGCAAGCAACGCCGTGGGAAGTCTTGGCAGCACCGCCAGTGCCAGTGGGCATGGGGTACTTGGAAAGAGCAGACTTGAAGAGATCGAACTCCTTTTCGGTCGTGACCTTGCCGTTCTTGATTGTGACGATACCGTAGTCGTTGTCCTCGAGGGAATACTCATACATGAGACCGCCGGAGTAGATGGAGGACATCTGGTCGTCCATCATGGGCTCAATCTCCTCGAACTTACGAGGGCGGTTCTCAATGCAACCATACTCGGACAGGCTAGTGCAAGGTTAGGATAGACCAACATGAGTAATGAATCGACTTACAAAATGGGGATACCGTAGTTGGTGAAGTTCTTGACCTTGACGTCCCAGCCAGAGGTCTTGAAGTCACTGTTGCACCAGGAGTAGTCGTTGAAGGCGAAGAAGTCAGATCGAACCTCCTCAGAACCACAGTTCATGTAGTGAGCGGTTTGCATACGGTTGGAGGCAACATCGGCAGCAGAGTATCCGACAGGAATCTGGCGGAGCTTGCGAGCCTTGATGTAGTTTCGCATATCACGAGTGATGGCCTTGACGTAGGGAGCGGACTTGTCGGTATCCTTCTCGTCGTTCATGACCTCATTTCCGGAGAAGAAAGCGAGTGTGTTGTCGTACTTGGCGAACATCTCGACGGTGGCGAAAACGCTCTGGATGTAGGCAGCGTTGTAAGAAGGACCGGGCTTGGCACGGTTGATGGAGTACTTGGGGTTGTTGACATCGAGAACGAGGTAGATGCCAGCGTCGTCGAGCGCCTTCATGCACGCATCATGATCGGCCTTGTTGTCGACAGCGTAGACGCGGATAACGTTGACGCCGAGCTCCTTGAAGTACTTGATATCACGCTTGCAAACATCAGGATCGGCGAGAGGATCCTCGTTAGCAGAGGCACCACCGGGCTGGTAGTCGATACCTCGGAGGTAGAATCGGTCCTTGCCAGTCCAGAAAGCTAATTGATTGTCAACACTGACTGCACATCCAACTCTGAGGCAATTGACTACTAACCATTGCCAGAAACCGAGACGGCGGGGAGAGAAGCGCGCTTGCTGGGAGGCTCCTTGAGGGTAGGGGTAGCCGAAGCGACAGCCGCCAAGGCGGAGAGGAAAGCAACGGTCTTCATTTTAGATTGGTTGCTCGAACAGTATGGCGAAATTAATACAGTTCAAGGTTTGTCGTTTAGAGGCGATATTGAGGGCGGGAAATGATCGAAATGAGCGGATCGGGTGAGGAAGCAGAATTACAGTCCAAGTAGAAGAAAACCAACAACGAGGGAGTTGGGAAGTGGAACGAAAGAAGAGAGAAGATCACGACCGGAGAGAAAACGACAGAAAGGCGTTAACCGGTTGAAAGGTAAGTTGAAGGAATTAAAAAATCAATGGAGGGAGGAAGAAGAGGAGAGGAAAAGAGAGCGTGATACGGAGGTTGGAATGGGGTTTTAAAATGGGAAGATGGGGTGTGGTACAACAGGTACAAAGTTACAAGTCGGGACCAAGTCAATCGACAATCACAGAATGACACAGCAGGATAGAACGTGGAGAGTGGTGGTATCAAAGGATATTGGATTGGACGGCAGGTAATTGATCCCTGAAATGGGCTGGTAGCTTGAGCACTCGGCATTATCTTGGTACCTACCAATCTAGGGAGAGACGGGGTGTCTCGATAAGTAAACTGAGTATTTTACGGTACCAATTCAAGCATTGGACGATGCAGACTCTTCCATTTCCATCTGGCTCCCGCCCGCGTACCAAGTTAAGAATGGAAACTGAGGTGGTCAGTCCAAGCGACTAACGCCGTCCACTGTGGGCATTTCTTCCTTGGAAAGCTTGGACTGACTTCCGTCGAATCCAAGGGGAAGCCATGGATTGGGGATTAAACGTGGGGCACGTCTGGTCCAGTAATTTCAGTTTCCACAAATTCATGGCTGGCACACCTAATCTCGAGGGCCAAGAGAGCATGATGATGGGTTGACGATCAAGTCCAGCGGCTAGGTAGGTAGTTATTGTGAAGCAGCACAATGCTCTTGTAGTTCAGTGCTGTGAAACTATCTTGTCAGATGAAACGAGTGTAGTTGAATTGCCATCTACCGGCAATTACACCGTCCTATCGTGTCTGGCTATGTTTACACTTAGACGACGGAAGTCAGGTACACGAATCAATGGGCTGTGCTAACCCGGCCTATCACTGAATGATTAGACTCAGTTGATGGTCTGTAGTCTGCTGATGTGTCTTCCCTTGTCACTTGTTGAAGAACAAACTGTTGTAACATTCGTAAACAAGGCGGTTACCAGTTGGTCATGAGTATGTGTACTTGTTACTACAACAGGATCGGCACAAACAAACATTTAACCATCTTTCCCTCTAGTCAAACTCTGTTCTCGTTATTTTTGCTAGTGTTGCCCATGGTGCTGCATCACTCGTATACAGTCAAGTTATACGTCTCACGTGTGTCAACAAACGTCTCAACACCTCATCGATGACAAGAAACTCCCAAGAGTGCGCAGCCACAAACCAAGAGCCTAACAACTCAATCTCTCCGTTTCTATGGCAAGTCCAAGGCCTATAGTGCATTGGTATCACTTGCTGTCTTCTCTTTTTCGTTTCTTGGCCTGGATTTCGCTCAATGCTGAAATTCAATTGACCCACCAAAGTCGTCGTAATGCTTTTTAAGCTATCGGCACACGCCCCCCTTGCTCATGCATGACACTCCCTTTCGGCTGGAGCAAGCGCCTTCTGATCAGCGATTGGCGCGCCGCTGAAACTCGTCTCGTAACCCCCCTGAGGCTCCTTTTTAAACGGCTCCAGCTGGTGGCACAGTCTCTCTCTCTCGCCTTGATCCTGATACTTGGTGAAAGCTGGTCTGGGGCTGGCATTAAATGTCTGAGTATTGAATCGTGGATTGTTAAGATATCAAGAATTTCATCTCATGTACAAGCTTAAAAGAAACTACCTAGGTATCTATCAACCAATAACACAAATAAGAATCCACTCATTCTCACCTGCAGATTCAATGATCGGCAGGGGCCATTCTGCCACTCCCGTCCCGCTAAACTTCAGTGGGGCCCTCTCAAGCCTATGGGCCATACCGTATTCCTTTGAAGAACAAGAATAGGAACTCAACCTCTCGAGAGTATGGTTAGCTTACTGAGATACTACTGGTTGTTGAGCACTCACTATCATTCTGATAGTGTTTCTCTGGACTATATTAAGTTACAGACAGATACAGTACATCTTGAGTCTGAGCCTTTCCTTCTTCTGGTATCAGTCAGTCTGAGCTTTGACTGTTGAGACTGGATGACGATGAGCAGAACTTGACATGGATTTCGCTTGGGTTTATTTTCTAGACCCGTCAAATCCAACTGAGACGCTGGCCAAATTTCAATCGTCACGTCGATCACTCAGCACTGCCTCGTCCCAAGCTCATCCCTCATCCCTCACAAACACTCGCCTCAGCATTCTCACCGCAACGCCAATATCACATCTCGCCTGCTGCATAATTAAACTCAAGATCTGGGCGCTCTCAGCCAAGAATGACCCTCGTGTGAAATACTGTGGTTCTTCACTATGCAAAAGGCCCTCTTTTCATCTGGTAATCTCGTCTGGGGTGCATCACATCCCCTGCCAGTCAATGCACCAAATGACGGGTCACCACTCTATCTCAGAGCCAAGAAAATGCTTGGCTTTTTTAAGCTGCAATAGGAGGTTTCAAGTGACACTTTGCCTAGTTGGGTCTGTAAGAGGAAGACTGTATGATCGTCATTAGAGTTTCGTCTTGCTCTACCTAAAATCAACTCTCAACGTCCATCTTAAGCTTTGCCAGCATTACCTCATAAGCTAGAACACGAGGGATGCTCTAGTCAGCCTTCTGTTGCATATGCTCTATTTCATCTTAAACACGCCACGTCATTTCAGTGACCCATCATGTTAACCAACATTTTTGACTACACAAGTCCAAAGAACTCTACACATACAATTCATTCAACTATGGGTATCGAAAACTGAATCCAATGGTTGTGTCTATTTGACTGTCATCAATCATCATGTAAGCTTAAAGAGGTCCTCAACCCCTTGCCAGCTTCCCTTTGCGCGCTCCTCCCAGTAACTATCCTTTCCTGTCTTGAGCTTCCATACTTCTTCTCCCTCTGGAGCGTTCTCGACCTTGACGAACCATCGAGGCTTGTATGTCTCACCTCGCTCTTCGAGTTCTCGGCGTCGACCGCGCTGAGCTTCCTCCAGCTTTTGTTTCATATCCTCAGCATCATCGATTGCGCCTTGTTCGTATGCGCGCTGATCAGGTCGTAGGCGACAGTCCGTAGGAGGGAGCTTGCCCTTCTCGATCTCTGTAACCTCATTCAAACTGGCAGCAAAAGTTGTGAGGCCAAATGTCTGGGCAGCATTTTCCACCAGTGGTCCAACACGCCAAATCTCCTGGCCGCCACCTTTACCTGTTGTCTTCAAGCTGTTGGTCCATGTGCCTACCAAGCCGCTTCCTGTGTTTGCTCCTTCAGGGTTGAAGATTTCCACACTGACATCCTCAATGCGTCCACCCCACATGCCCTTGCTCTTGAACTCAACTGCAGCCTTGTGACCAGTGCTGTCATTGACGACATGCATTGTGCCCACAGGCTCCACGTACTTTTCGCCCATGACCACGTTGCGCAAGAACATAGTAGCAATATTCCATGAATATCGCTCCTCGGAGCCGTTTGATAGACGTAACACAATTCGAACACGGCCATCAGTTGTGATTTCAGCGCTCTTGCCCCAAAACTTCTGGCCGGGGGCCGGTGATTGGGAGAACGACCAGTTGGCTGAGTCTGCTTGCATAGCCAAGAGAAGAGGTCGATGCTGGACCTTTTCGACTAAGAGTCTGAAACCTCCAGGCACCTCCTTTTCGCTTCGAACCAGTTCAAAGGTTTCGCCCAGTAGAGGTGTGAAAGGCTTCCGGATAGCACGTTCTTTGGCTCGTCCACTGCTAAATTGGGAGATTGCAAACGCTGCGACGAACAAGAGTCTGTCTGTGGGAGAAGATTGCTTTGCAGCTTGGTTTAATAGTTGTGCGTATTCCAGCTGTTCAGCCACCTTTTGGCACATGGATGACGGTTCGTTCGAGGTAACAGGCATGCTGATTGTACTAAAATCTTTGCCAACATTTTTTCTGAAGAACGCGATCAAACTTGGCGCAGCTGCAGCTGCAGGTGGTATGGTTGATCTTCTGGTAACGGCATGCTCAATAGGCAAAGGTGTAAGGCTCTTAGGTTTCGTGGGGAAAAGATGAGATGCATCGTCCAGGTTTGCTGTGTCATTCTCTCCTATAGATGACACAGAGGAATTGTCTCGGAATGAATCTTCCTCCTCGTCTTCTGGCTCTTCTGATCGTGAAGCTTCGTCCTCGCTGCCGTCAATTTTAAGAACGGCTGAGTTAGCATCCTCGGCATCAAAGAACTCGTCTGCTGTCGAGACAGTGTCTATACTCTTCCTTGACACGCCACCTGCAGACAAGGGCACTGGCATGCGACGGCGCTTACTGTTGTTGATAAGTGTTGTGAATTCAGACACAACTGAGTCAAGGTCTGTCAGAAGTGATTGACAATGATCCTGCAGCGAGTTCTCCTCTCTAACGAGCCCCTTGGATTGTCTCCTTGAGTGGTTTGGCACGTTGGCAGAGATAGTCGTGCTGACACCACCTGGTGCTGGCACTGCCAGAGCTGTTGGCGCTCCCAGTGTGGCAGGGGATATCGCAGGAGTGTTTGACTTTCTTCTCCAGAAGGAGCGCCTCTGTTCGGGAGGTGGTGTGAAATACGTGTCGTTCTCGTCGATAGCACTAGTCGCGGCTCCAGGTGAAAGATATTGAGGACTGGTTACTGGTGGTGGTTTTGCCTGAGCTGTGACCTCACGGGTTAGGCGTCGAAGAGCATCGCGTGTTCCAACGACACGGCTAACCAGAGATTCGACCTGCTCCCATTCTCTGTCTTCTTGTGGAGAGGACTGGTGAATAGGCTGAAGCTGGCGTGTATTGATTTTCAAGTGATCCTTCTTGGGAAGATCCAGGGTCTCCAATCCCCTTGCAACGCGGCTCGCCTTTTCGAGCGCATGCGCCCAGTCCTGGAATTCCTTATCGTTGGGGGCTCTCAAATGCCAGACCTCAGCGCCTGAATCGATGCTAATCTCTCTTCGTCGCTCATCCGCAGCAATGGCGGCTAAGCTTAGGGGAATAGCACCTCGGAGCGCAGAAGACTTAGGATTATAGTAGTACGACAGTGTGCATGTCGAGTAGTCAAGCGAGAAGAATCTGCGAGCGTAGCCTTGTCCCTTCTTGCGACGCCTCTTGTGCAGAACACCTACATGATAATTGCCTGAGCCAACCTCGCTACGACCAGAAACAGAGTTTGCGTTTCCTACGGCGTTGTGACTGTGAAGACTGTCTAATGAAGCAGATGCAACCCCGTCGAGTTTAGGGCTACTGTGTCGCCCAAGACTCGTTTGGCTGGCTCCAGCTTTCGGTGCTTGAAGATTAGGCAAATGTGATGAAGTCTGAGGAGGTGCCCCTGTAGGATATGTCATTACCACAAAAGTCGCCGTCTTGGATGTCTGTTTCGAGAACGTGTTGTCGAACACAAGGCCGTACATTCCGCTCTGGTCATGGTTGACCTCGTACGTGCCGATTGACACCTTGTCCGCTTCGCATTTACCAATCCATTTGATGGGTATAAACCCTTTGCTTTTTAGCAGCTCTTGTGCGTTTATATCTTTCTTCGAAAAGCGGCCAGACTTCCCGTCCGAGGTACCGCCCGACTCTTCAGCTCCATTATTCAGGTCTTCGGTTGTTGAAGATGCAAAAGTGGTGGCACCGCTACCGGGATGTTTAACAATGCCAAAATTGCTACAATCGTATTAGTACACAGCTTCATTCCGGAGCCTGGGAAGGCTCGCGCCCGACGGTGTAAGAGACAGGTGCGTACATGGACTTCTTGTGAGGTTGTACGCTCCACGATAGTGTATTTCCTTCGTCGACTTTGACCCAGCGAACAATATACGACTATAAAGTGTTAGCCAGAAGTTCGCGTCAATTCTTCATGCGGTGCCTGGTACGGCATCCGCAATACAGGGGAGAGCGAGTGACATGCCTTGCTGTGAACTTCGAGCTGTTCAATGCCCGCCATTTCGTATGATACTTGTAGACCGAATCCTAGCACAAGGAAGTTTTCGCGTTCGTCGAGTTTTCAAATATTCGAATAGGCTATCGGGAAGCTCGGTAGACGAATTCGTGGCGGGGTTGAGGATCTTCAGCAATTGACCATGCCGGCTCGATCGATATTCAGCTTAGGTTTTTCGGAAGACCGGAAACTGCGGATTGCGAGATGGCTCTTGATGTTGAAGAAGACAGGTTTCGACAGTTTAAGAGAGAAATTGTGTGTGCAGGGGGTGAAAGTGGCTGACAAGTCCTCCTTACGTCTGACCTTCTGGCATAAGTAGAAGCCAAGAGTTTTGCCTCGAATCCTGGAGGAGTCAAGGGGTATCCGTCTGCCGTATACGTGCGCTATACGTGGACAGCTCGAGCACGTACGCACGAGGCAGCTACCCAACAACTAAGCTAGTGTTTATGTAGTCGAGTCGTGGGCTCTGTATTGGGCCGAGCAGGGGCCTTGGTGGCGGGGTAGTATACCGTAAAGCGAGGTTTGGCCTTGCTGCTGACGTTGGAAACGCGGATTCTGTAGCTTGTACAGCCACCACAGCCACCGGGAGCCACAAGTCCAGTCCTTTTCTGGAAAGTCTTTGGTGTCAGGGACGAAACTGTTGCGAGGATGTTGTTCGTTTCAAGTGGACAATTCGAAGGTTGAAGTGGTTGGGAGGACAGGGCGGGCGGAGGTTGGGGATAAGAGCCCTGGCAACAGGGTGATGAAGGTGGCTGGAGGGCGGAACGATTTACACAATTTTAATGCGAGTGGATGATTGATGATCAAATATCACTGAAGCTGTCAGGAATGTGGAAGATTGCAGAGGTGGAATTTGGTTAAATACGAAAACTAACAAAGAGGACTCGCGATTACTATGTTAAGGTTCCTTGCCTCGGTAGGTTTGGTATGCGAGCGCCGCAAGGTGCTAGTATTACACGGCATGATATGACGTTGCATTCCACTTTATTCCGAGGTCTAGGGGTTACATCATTTCGAGTTCTGGGACTGAGCTGTAACTTGTGATGTTGCTAAAATACCTACTGTACCGTGATACTCAAGCCACAGCTTGACTTTATCGCTTCAACGTCTGTGGGAAATCGATATCTTGCATATTGCATTCTCCGCCGATGTTCCATTGTCCAATGTCTCGGGTGGAAGATCATGTCAACTAGGATGATCCTCATAAATAGCTTCTCGACCTTGAAGATTGGCCATTACCCCACGGGCAATCCTCATTCCGGGCGTTGCCGGTCAATCCGAGCTACAGTGGATTGGAAGATGCTATTTCCGGCACGTTTAGTCTTTGTATGGTCTGTTGATAGAAGGTGATGCTACCCGGAAGCCGAGCAAGTAACTTTCCAAGCACAACCTTCAGGTCACCTAATGGATGAAACTTAGGAGATAAAAGGTCTAACGGTTAGTAATTTTGTGTTAATAACTTTGTGGGAGTTTGTGAGGCAATTGACCATAGCATGAGGCTTGTCGGCAGATCTTGTCTTGTAAGAGGCTTCTGTCCCAGGAACAATTCAGCCTTGACACGTCAATCCCAACTAACCTCCTAAGTTAGTCTCCATAGGAGTCTACAAATATATGATCGACAATAGTTGTCAACTAGCCACATGCTCAGAGAAATTAGGCATGTGTTACCGTGGTGGTCAACTTCTTGTAATCGGGGCCTTACAATGACGTTCGCTTGTATCTAAACAAAACAATCAACTTTCCTCAGTTGCTCAGATATGCAAATAGAGTACTGCCGACGTATTTGCAGGTATGAACATGTTCACTTTATCAGGTCAATCTTTGAAATGCGGCTATTATAGCATACAACAACTGATGTTATTTAGCAATGATTCCATCAACGAATAACCGCACTCCTAGAGAAACAATCACAACCACATCTTCAGCCCCAATTACCCTCGAGGTTCATCGCTATTACGAATCGATATCGGTTCTTAACTCAAACCCTGTCTCACCCACGCGACCTGCCCCTGACGCCCGTCGTCGAGCCAAGCACCCAAGGCCGTCGAGACACTTCTACTGGTGGATGGACGAAGTGAGCGCATGCCTAATCCCAGTTGGGATAGACAGACGGGCCCTTAAGCAGCCAGACCTTACCTTAAGTAACCTGTCTTGCCTGTGGATCTAAGCGGGCAGCGAGATGGAACTCCACTGTGGTTTAGGGGACGAGTCTACGAGGAGGAATCTCTTCAAGCTAAGCCCAAGGTCCAGGCCAAGCCAGGGGCTTTTTTTTGAGTTGGTATTTGGCTGACCCTTAGTTAAAGAACTTGAAAACGAAATTTCATCTACCTCTAGTTATGTTGACCTGATTTGCATTTTCCCCTTTTTATTCTTGGGCTTTGGATTCATGTTCAATCTCATAGTAAATCACTGAAACGCTGCGCCAGAGTGTGGCAACTGCTTCTTCCCGCACCTGCATCCCGTCCGTCTTAAGGCACCTACCGCTCTGACCTGAATCGCACGGCGCAACAGAAAGGAAGTACCCTTTCTAGGTCAACTTTCATCTTTTCTTCTCCTTCTTTTCAATCTCATCAACGACTTGAACCGCCTCGCCTCGCATTGCATCGCTTCTTCTTTGTCCCTCCTTTTGCCTGCATTGTTGGTAATTAAGTGCTTTTCTTCATCCGCGGCATCTACTTTACATAATTGCTTGCTTCTTTCTGCTGCCCGTCGACGACAACCCCCGTCCCGGTCTCCGGCCTCCGTACTCCAGACCCCGATCACCGTGCTTGTACTGCGCGAGCCCTACGACCGACTCGAGACGGTTACACTGCGAGACAGGTTCCTTTGGTACTTCACGTCTTCTAGAGATCATTGAAAACTTGATCTATCAAGACCCGCCACCATGTCGAGTATCATGAGTAAGCGCCAGCAGGCGCGGAACGAAAAGGCCCTGCAGGATCTTGTGCAGAACACCCCGGGCAATAATATGTGCGCTGATTGCCACGCGCGTAATCCAGGTACGCTCCAGATGTACAAAGAAGCTCATCCTGGGCCGAGTACATGAGATGATCGGAATTTGCTAACATGAATTGTCAACTTCAGCTTGGGCATCATGGAGTGTACGGTCCCCCACCACATACGGGAACTGATCCAATACTAATATGTCTGTTAGTTGGGCGTTTTTCTATGCATGAGATGTGCTGCAATTCATCGAAAATTGGGTACTCACATCTCCAAAGTAAAGTCCTTGAGCATGGACAGTTGGACCAACGAGCAAGTCGACGTGAGCAGCAGCAACAACAACCTGGGGATCGTGCCCAAAGATAACCCATAGCTTACACGGTCTATAGAACATGCGAAAGGTCGGAAATATCACATCCAACAACATCTATAACCCCGAGCATCGCAAACCACCCGTCCCGGTCGACGCTGACGAAGCCGATTCTGCCATGGAACGATTCATCAGACAGAAATATATGAATAATACTGTTAGCGGAACGGGAAAGCCCAAATCTTCTCACATAGGCGAAGGAACACCTCCACCACTGCCGCCTAAGAACTCGAAGTTCGGATTCCGATCAGCTTCATCTATCTTCCCTCTGTCGTCCAAGTCGAAGAAGGACGCCAAAACCATTACAGCTGGGCAAGGTGGACGTAGCGAGTTTCCAAGACCCCCCAATAAACCATCAAAAGTATTCGGCGCCACCCTGGATCTTGATCAACCGGACGACATGGAGCAAAAGCTGGCTAGGCTACAAGACATGGGATTTCAGGACGCCAAACGCAATGCTCTGGTTTTGAAAGGTGTTAATGGCAACTTAGAGCGAGCGATTGAGACTCTTGTGCGCTTGGGTGAGGGTAGTGGTCGACCCTCACCTCTTCCCACACCTTCGCCTCGAGAACAGACTCTGCGAACATCAAGGTCTTTGACGCCCCTGACACCGAGTTCTGGCGGGCTGGGACTCGGCGCAGGTCTCAGTGTTCCCGTCCGTTCAGCTACGGACCGTCCCACTACTCCATCAAGTGCTTCGACAAATCCGTTTGACAGCCTAGGAACGGCTCAACCCCAGACGGCCCAATCGACAGGAAGCCTTCATAACCGGAACCCGTACGGCCAGACAAACCCATTCGGGGCGCCAGCCGCTCAACAGCAACAGCCGACCGATGCGTTCAGCCAGGCGTTCCAGAACATGTCTCTCTCACCTCAACAGCCTCTGTTCCCTCACCATACTGGAGGACCAGCACCACAGCAAGCACCACAGGTGACAGGATACCAACAAGTGGCCCCATCAGCACCAACAACCCCGAGTGGTTTCTCAACTTTGGGCTTCAGTAATAACATGACATACCCACAGCCGATCCAAGCGCAGGCGACGGGATATAATCCGTTTCTAGCGAACACAGCAGGTGCAATCCAGCAACAGTCGCAACAAGGGTCTAATCCGTTCCCTCAAGTTAACACCAATCAAGCACCTGCTGGATATAACCCGTTCGCTCGATCCCCAACTCGAATCGCATCGCCAAGCCTTGGTCAGATACCGGAGCAAACGCAGAGTTCGTTTCAAAACTCGTCTGTTTATCAGGGATCTGCCGTGTATCAGAGCCCAGCTCCTTTGAGTCCCCCAGAAACAACCACTAACCCGTTTTTCGCAACTGCTGGTCAGCCTGTGGCGCAAACAGGTCAACAGGCTTTCGTGCAACAACCTGTCGTGCAGCAGATGCAGAGCCAACCTCAAGCAAGCCACAACCCCTTTGCCCAGCAGCAGCCTGGACAACAATTCCTTGAGCAGCAGCCACAGATGTACCAGCAGCAGCAGCAGCAGTTTTACCAACCTCAGAGGCCAGACAAGGCCTCGATCATGGCTCTTTTTAATAACTACCCTCAAACGGTACAACAGCAGCCAGGTGCGGCCTCGGCTCAGCCTTCATACCATGTTCAGCAAGCCGCACAATATCACCAGCAGCCAACCATTCCAGAAAACCAGCCCCTGCAAGCTCCAATGGCATCCGCGCAGCAGCAACCAAGCGTGCCTCAGCATCTATCATCTAGCACAAACCCTTTCATGAATGGTGCGCCTTCTTCTGGCGTCGTTGCTAACGTAAATGCTGCGACCACTTCAGACCCATTTGCTGCAAGGAGCAGAGAGAGTATGAACCTTGGCCTTGACCTTGCGTGGACAAATGGGCGACACAGCCCAGATGCATTTGCGAGCCTCAGTGCACGACATGGATGATGGTACAAGACTAGAGGTAGTATTGGAATACGATATGTTCAGGATAGTACAAATGTGACACGGGAGATGTGGAGTACACTGTATGATAGTATTAACGTTGGTTCTGGTTGGTTGTTCAGACTATGTTATTGCCATTTGGCTGTGGTCTTTCTTTTATGTACTTCAGGGCAGGGGTGGTTGATAGGGATTGGTCAGGATTGCTGGGGTACGGCAAACCGGCTTGACTGAGCAGTTGAAGATTGAAAGACGGCATTGAGGATAGCATGGCATAATGGTGCGTAAAGACGGAGGGACAGACGATGATAGACTTCATAAGGTAGTCAACGGTGGCTCGAGCATTAAGGGAGTACGGATGCGATATTCCTCCTCCTATGGCATGGCTGTTGCTAGTCAACTAATTTGAGCTTTGGCTTATTTGCGAGTAAAATGGCTCTTATGAAATTGCTGCCTCTTCATGGATCTTGTTCATGAATGTCGACTCTGTCGGGCTGTCTCCACATACCATTGGTCTCGTGAGTAACATGATGCGCCCGGACAACGCCGGGGATCGAATTGAGTATCTCAATTGTTGATCATGTCTCTGGCTGCAGCAGAAATGCAGCCAGACATGGATGTTTTTGGTGATGGTCTCGGTCTGGATACATACCCGATAGAAGCAAAACGCGGGGTTGGGTAGTGGCACCACCACCATGGGAACCTAGCACATCCACCAATCAACTTACACGACAGAAGGGGGTTAATTAGCCTGCTTGGAGATGCACATGCGTAGAGTTGGTCGAGAAAGTGTGTATCTTGGAATCAGTTTCTTCATTATTAGTGGGCGAGAAGAGAATCATGAATATTTAGAGACCAATTTGGGTCACAGAATCATGATCGAATCAGGTGGTACGACGTGGAAGTTTTGATCAATAAACTGGGGTTTGTGGGTAACAAAAAACTGTAACGGAGCCAATATCATGCAAATCCGGAAGAAGCCAGCACGCAATGTGTCTGTCATTGACAATTGTGGCACAGCGGCAGCATCCAAAGCCGAATACAGTAATTGCTGTACAGTAGAATGCGAAACTGAGGCGAGTAGGTTGTTGTGTAAGCGCTTGAGGAACCCTTATTGTGAGATGATTGCAGAGGATTCTAGACTCTTCAGGCATGAGTGGCTGACACATTCGACGATCTGTGTGGGACAGTCTTGGAAACGTTGTGTGTAACGGTGCTGAGTAACCAAGAAGAATACGTGTGGTGTCTTCTGGGTCAGAAACCTTGAGACCCTTACATCAGGGAGAGAAAATAAACTGACCAAAGAACATAAGTATTTTCGTCACTAAGGACTGTAGTACTAAGTTTTCTGCCATCCCCTAGATTGTCTAGGGAGGCATACCGACCTATTAGATGAGGAGATTGAGGAGTAGCTTGGATAAGCGGGAAGTCAGTTCCTTCCTGTGATAATCAGCATCCTCAGTTTAAGACATTTTTACACACCAACGGGCTCAGTTCAGTCACTCTTGTTTGGATTAGACTCGTGGTCAAGGACAATCAAACCAGGCTCTTCTTTCCACTAAAGATATGCACGTACAGGTTGCTTTACAGTATCTCAGTTACATTTGCAGTTCGACCTCTGCATTGTTACTCTGCCAGCTGGCGTCTATCAACCAGTAGACTCGGCCATGTGCTGCGGAGGCGTTCGCATTAGTGCGAGACAGTGCGCTAAGTTGAGAGAATGCTTAGCTGAGATGGATTTATATCTGCCAAGAATGAGTTGAAAATAGTGATGATGATCATTATCATGAACTTGCTACCCATATGAGTCAATTCCTTTGACAGTGAATCTATAGAGTCTAATCATGTGATACCAAATGACGATATCAACGAGCACCCCAAATTATTTCTTTCCATTTCTCGAATTTGGTTGGCCTCGGCTTAGCTCATATCAGCGGCTGCCAAGATAAGATAGTCGCACTGTACTTGGCCATGAGGTGTTACCCCGGCTGCAATTGTGGCAACCCCTTCCTCCACTGTGGACTGTGGACTGCCTGTGCACAAAATTCCAGAGCCTCAGGTGAGGGGTCCACCTAAAACGCACTGTTCCTTGTGCCCCGAGCGCCCCGAGGTCACCAAATTCCTGGGTTCCTCTCCTTCCTCGTTCTTACTTAACCTCACCGCTGCCCAAACACCAGACAGATCTTAGGCTTACATCTACTCATAACGCATCCAAGACATTCTCCACAACTTACTCCTCCACGTTCGCCTCGAAACAAACAACATACAAATTCTTTAAAAGGATTTCTAAACCGCTGGTCTGAAGAGTCACATCACCACACGCTATCAGTCAACTTCCGCCGATCAACAACCTCGACCCTTACCCAACTTTGTCAACTTTTAGTCGATAACCCGGAATCATCATCAGAAATGGCGCCAATGAATAATCAGAATTTGAATTACAGTAGTAATTACGGCGAGGCCGCTGCCCAGAAGGTCAATGTCCTTGCCTCTTGCTACCTCGTCGACTCTGCCGCCAACCTCAAGGGCCTCCACTACTGCACTACCGGGGTTGCAGGTATGTTCTCTCCTTTCAGCACCAAATCTTATCACAATACTAACTCTACTACAGGGGCCGAGTGGTATTCCTGAGGTCCCTTCCTCAGGACTACCCTCCCCTCCAACAAGCCCCCCCTCGCCGCACTAACCTCGTCTAACGAGCTCGCCCTTCTGCCCAAGAGCAAGAAGCGCGAGATCCCAGGCCGGCGCCTGGGTCGACGAGGGGGGGCAGCACTTTCGATCAGGGAAGAATGTGAGAGATTCTTTTGCGAGTCCATGAAGGCGACTTTCCACGGTGAGAGGAATTCGTCCATGAATGGCTCCGGCCTGTCTGGTGCTTTTTTACCAACGCCGCCGTCCGATGACCGGCTTCCCGAACACTTCAAGCCTGTTTCTGATGACAAGCTATCTGCCTACAATATTACCGCTTGGCTGGAGATGTGGGACTATGCCGGCGGAGCGAGCTTCCGTGCCTTTGTTGCTGATGACGGAGAGGAGAAATCCCTCTTTGTTTTCTTTGATATCGAAGGCGTACTTGGCCGAGACCTGAAAAAGGCGTGAGTGATATTGTTCCCTAGTCTCTGTAGAAATGCTAAATTCTTGGTAGTCTGATGGCTCTTATCGAACTGGCCGACGGTCCTCTGGACTGTGCCCACATTGTCACTTGCATAGATAGACGCATCCCTGCGGACGACGTCCACTCTTTGACCAAAAGTCTACAGTGGGTTGGCTTCGACATGGTTACTCTAGACCACTGGGCTCATGGTCTTGATGTCACGAGCAAGAAGTGGATGTTGATGGGTATGGAGCTATAGGTATCGTCGCTTTCCTGTCTTTTGTGGAGTTAGGGAGTGGATGTATTTCCTTAGTTTCTGTTGTGTCATTTTTCGTTCGTCGGTGTTTACCAAATTTTGTCTGGAGGCTCTCTCGGCGGTTTGCTCTGCTATTCTTGGAGAGATCTGGCAGCGTCGGGCGTTGAGTCGCAGAAAAGTTCAACAGTCCCAGGGCTTTTGGCGCATCTCTTTTCTTTTCGTTCACGGATTTTAAGGGTGTAGGAGCTTATAGGTGTTTTTGTCATTCTGAAGCTTTCACGGTGATGACTTTCAACGTAGTACAAACCTGCTAGTTAAGATAATACTAAAGCAATCGTGTGCAAGTCAAAATAGTGTCTATTATTTGTTGTTTTGTTCTATCTTTGATGGTTCTAAAATCATTCATCGAATTGTCTAACTTTGAGACCCTTTTCCTTCAAGTAGTCCTTAACCTGTTTGACGGTGTACTCGCCGCGGTGGAACATACCGGCTCCCAGAGCAGCATCCGTAGTAGTTTTCTCAAAGACTTCTTCGAAGTGAGCCGGGTTACCAGCACCGCTTGAGGCAATGACGGGAATCTTGATAGCTCCCTTTACCTGGTTGATGAGCTCGTGATCAAACCCACTATTGGTGCCGTCTTTGTCAATGCAGTTGAGAAGGATCTCTCCGGCTCCCATTGCTTCAACGGCCTGTACAAGCTCGACAACATCCATGTCACGAGTCTCGCGACCACCTTTGATTGTGCAAGCGTACCAACAGTACTCCTCGCCCTTGGGACCAGGGAACTGTGTCTTTATGATGTTGTGACGGGTGGCATCAGGCTTGGGAACATAGACACGCTTGGGATCTATGCTCACAACAACGGCTTGGTTGCCGTAGGCGCGCGAGATCTGCTCAATGGCGGTATTGCCGAAGAGCTTGCGGCCTATAGAGTAGTACTCTTCAGCAGCAAGAACGGCATCGGAGCCGATTGAGACCTTGTCAGCGCCGGACTTGAAATACATGGTAGCGATCTCAAGGGCTGACACCTTCGTGCCGTCAGTATCCACGGTGTCACGAATACCACCGCCGATAGTCAAAGGCACAAAGACGGTGCGAGACGTTTGACGAAGAATCTCGAGCATGGGGAGATCGGCAACAGGGCAATCTCGGAAAGAAGTAATGTTAAGGAAAGTCACTTCGTCAGCGCCGGATTCGTAGTATTTCTTGGCCATCTCAACAGGCTTGCCGAGATTTCGCACGTTGCGATCGTCACCCTTCTCGCGAACATCGTACTGATCACCCTTTGTAACGACCAAGTCGCCCTGGTCGTTTGTCCTCACATCTAGGCAGGCTATGACTCGCCGTGTTAAGCTGTCCTCGAACTTGACAGGCGCACTGGCGACAGCCTCATCAACCACGGTACCAAGATTCTTTGCGCCTTCACCTGTGAGGAAAGCCCGGATGGTTTTTAAACCTGCAGTACCGGACTTTTCAGGGTGAAATTGGGTTGCATAAATGTTTCCCTTCGCAATGGCGCCTACAAAAGTCTCGGTGCCATAGGTTCCAGTAGCGACAGTCCATCCCTGAGACTCAAGCTCGCCCGGCTTATAGGGGCACTTATATGAGTGAACATAGTAGTACTTTGAGTCCGGCTGAAGATCGTACATGGTTCGTCCACCTGTGAAAGCATTGTTCCACCCGATGTGGGGGACGGATTTACTTGAGTCTTCGAAACGGTCCAAGGAAGCTGGAACGACTCCGAGGCCGGGGACGTCGGGGTCCTCTACAGAACCCTGGAACAGGGCTTGTAAGCCGACACAGACACCGAAGAATGGCTTTCCATCAGCAATGTGCTTTCGAACTGGCTCAAGATAGCCGGCTTGGGACAGTTGGGATAGACAATGGCCAAAGTGGCCGACACCGGGGAGGATGAGTTTCTAAAACGCATCAGTCATGATGAACGAGAAATTGAAGGAAGAATTGCCAAACCTCTGCCTTCGGAACGTCCTCCGGTGATCTAACCCATTCAACCTCGTAGCCAGACTTCTCAATGGCATTTACCAGGCTCCTGATGTTGCCAGCGACATAGTCCAACAGGTGAACAGTGGGCATCGTACCCTAGATATGATGGTAAAGATGTGAAGAAGATAAAAGTATAGAGACCAGATGTTGCTTTGAAAAGATTAATGGCCACTGATGTAACACGATGTATGTCCAGATAATTGTAGCGATAGATGACCCTATATCAAGTCCTGAGGTGTTAAGAAAACGTCAAGATAAGTGTGACTGTTTCAAACCCAATGAGACTCATCAAAAGGTTGTAACAGCGATAGCGGGGCAGTCGCGAGTCACAGAAGCTGCCCCGCCTGATCCCTGTAATTCTGTGCTTTTTCAGAAAGTGCCGCTGTTGACCGACTTCCAGACCCTGGGACATCCCCCAATTGGCAAGTACCTTAACCAAGCTAAAGTTTCGCGACTGAATGTTTGCAGTTTGTCAACAAAGCTATTACTGACTTTTCGAATTTTGTCTCCTTAGGTAGTGTTGTGTTTGTTTTTATCTACGAAGACGATCAAGTCATAGGAGCGCAGCATTCTCATATTCTTTCTTAAGCATCTAGTGGCTTTCCCGGCAGATTTTCTCATCTTACTATGGCTTCGTTGGACGAGGCAAGATTGGCAGACAAGGCAGCAATTGTCAACATTGAGGAACAACTTGAAAGGGATGAACAAGAAGAGTGGGAATACGAATATTCAAACACCGAAACAGAGGTACTGTTTTACCTTGGTCTCAAGATGCCCGTTGTACGCAACCAGCTGACTCCTTGTCAAAGACATACTATTTGACCGTCGATCTTTCATTTCCTGAATTTAAGGACCGACAGCCAAGAGCGCCTCACCACAGCCGAGGCGGGTATTACAAAACCTGGCTTGATCACAATCCTAGTTTGAGAGGTGTTCATGCTGGGGATGATAATGATGACGATAACGACAATGAGCCACTCCCAGAACGAGAGGCGGACGACGACGAACCTGAAATCGATCCGGCATTAAGCAACGACAAAGACAAAGGCAAAGTAATCGATAGAGACGAGGCAGAGGACGACACAAGAGACGATGTGGATAAAACACGTGATGGGAATGAAAATATCCAGATCCTCGAGCTACATTCAGAAAGGCCGGTCATATCATACAAAGGGCGCACATTTGAAGGTTCGTGGGCGGAAATCATTGGCACCGAAGCTATATTTGCAACACGCGATAGCGATCGCCCCCTTCCCGCTCTGCGCCATCTCGATGGAAATATTGATTTTCTCGGTGCATGTGCGTCGAGGATCGCGACCAAAGAGACTGTTGTCAAGCCAAAAGTTATCAGGGAGGATCCATTAGCCGCTATCAGGGAGGAATGGAACATTCGAATTCCTGTTGGAAAAGACAGGTCAGGAGAACGAGCTGAGCAGACACGATTCCTAGAAAACTTGATGGCGATCAAGAAGAGGAACAAGGAGAAGGATCAGGTCACCGTATGGGCTAAGGACGGCGAGGGTCAGGACTTCAAAGACAACCGAGATCCTGACTACAAACCTAGGCGAAGAAGAAGGTTACTTAATGAGGATGGAGAGGAAGTCATTCCAAAACGCGAGAGACGACGTGCAAGTGGGCGTAGGGGTGGACGTCCCAGACTTCGACCCGGGGTTAGTCGTGGGCGAGGTACAACGGCCCTAACACCATCGACAACTAGAGATCTGGAAAGGACTGGGAATGAAGGCAATATGTCAACTCCTACTCCAAGCAGATGGAATGAGCTGCACGGAAGAGCGGATGAATACATGGACCATTCTGACGACGAGGATGGTACGGATGATGATGAAGAAGAAGAAGAAGATGACGATGATGAGGATATGGCAATGGCAGATTGAATGGAAGAAATAGTTGGAACCCCAGAAGATGGAACATCTGGTTGACATTTAGCGCATGAGATTATGATACCCGTGGTGCACTCTCGCCTAGAAAGAATATTAGGACTTCTTCTACTCCACGTCTCTGGTTCACGTATTGAGCATGGACTGAGCATCTTATTGTGTCAGGTCGTAGCCATCAATATAACGAGTGTGTTAATGGTGAAGCTGCAAGGCTGACGTATGCTATACTTGAAGATCGCACGAGGTTTGCGATCAAGTTGCCATTGGCTGGTGGATCTTGAGGTCAGCCTTATGGGAGGAACTCCGAATGCGAGGATCCATCCTACAAAGTTACTCATAATTATGTGGCGGTGATAGAATTGGTGACTTATTGGGCAGAGATCTTTCGTTAAGCAGGGTCTCTCGATCAATCCATCGATTCCGCGATCTGTTCAGGGTGAGAACTTAACCCCGGAAAGTCCGTGTACACGATACTGCCAATTGCGTGATGCAAGAGAGTCTTTGAAAATTCGGAGTCTCCTTGGCAGGATCAAGGCTGATCGAGGGCAAATCAAACTGTCACTGTCGATATCACAAAACTCGTGCTGTGACCTTGTAAATTGATGAGTGATCATGAGTCTACCCCTAGTGTCTTTGATTTTCGCATTTGTGACTACGAAATCCAACAAGTCATTCACCTGCAGCTGTAGGGACAAATTGAAGTACCGTGACTCGCAGACACAAGAGTGATCGTGTCACTCAGTACCAGTTCCCCCACCTCTCTCGCACGTTTATATGTTCTTTGCCGCAGATGCGCATCTGTTGGGGAATTGTTTATTCTGACGGTGAACCAGATGCTGTTGTCTTTCTTATAGATCGTGAGAAAGACAGTAGAAGGTGTCGTACTCGGGACTGTAAGTGGTGGGTACTTTACCTGGTATACAACATGCCCTGGTCACTCTGGCTGGGTTTCCAATCTTTCGGTCAACAAGTGGTAGATACTTTATGCTGAATGGGAAACAGGGCGGGTTTGAATGTATCCGTTACACGATCTTTGAGCCTGTCGGCCCATTCCAGAACTGCAGACTGGGGTCCCAGATGGATCTTGGAGGCTCAGAAAGGGCCCAGCAAGAGGGGAATCCTGTCTCTGTTGCGCAAAAAGAGGGGTCCTTGCGCTAAAACACGATCAAGGAACAGCCCGGACAGGGCTGTGATGTCGTTTCTTATTTGCCCCAGCGGATTCAGTCAGTACGCAAGGTGCCCGAATTTTAGACTGTGAAGAATGTAACGCAGGCGTGAAACATTGGTGAAGAAGCTTTACGAACAAAATCTAAATTCGTGACATACTTCTCACTATCAAGAAATATTTGTCGGCAGTTCAGTAGTAGACACTTCCACTTGAGGCTGAGCAAGAGATCTCGGTATGGAGCATCCGTGAATGGATATATCCGCTTTCCATCTACCCCAGACTTGACGTATTCGTACTCGATGCCCAGACCATAACCAGCCATCTATCGTCAGATACAGCAGAAAAGGAACGCTCTATCAAGTACACTCTTACAAGCCTGCAAACTGTATACTGCAGTTCCATTGCCTAAAGTGTAAAGTATCTGTACCTGCATCCCCACCACCCTCCACCGATTACGTCTCACCAACACTCCGCCAATCGATACCCTTGCCCTGCCGTCAAACACGCAGCGACCAAAAAGTATCCCGTTCTAGACTATGGCGCGCGCTTCTTTTCTTCTGTTGACTTAGCGGGAGGCTTTGTCCTCCTTCCTTCTTCTCTTTCTCCATCCTTTACCCTGGCCTTACTCCTCCTCCCAACGACATGCCGCGAGCGGTGTCGTACTTCTCTCGTTCGTTCGTGATGCTCATATAGCCGGCCTATCCTGTCTTATTCTTCTTCCTGGCCTTACTTCGATACTCCCGTGGCTTGTCGTCGGTCTTCGAAATCGATTCTGTCCAACTTAAGTTGCTGCGCATATTACCTCCATGGGCCCTTGCTGCCCGTCATCGCTACAACCATGATTTGGTTACGCCGCTTCACCATATTACTATCTTTCATGCTGCTTATCTCCTTTGGCGCATGGCTGCTTCCTCGTATACTAGACCCAACGACGAAAGGTCCCGAGAGGCGCGCTAGAGATCGACGATGGGTGAATAGCAGCCCGTACTTTCTGGATCGTCAGGCCTGCCGCTGGATTAGTCTGTGCGGACTACATCACTTGCGCAGTGATCCTGCCTCTCGTGGGAATAACGAGGACGAAGAACCAGAATGGGGAGAGCTCAAGCGCCGCTCTCTAGCTTGGGAGCCTGATAAGATTCCCCGTCAGAATCACAAGAGAGATGTCAACCAACGACGCAGAATTCTTCGCGATATTCCTGACTATGTTACAAAGCATGCACCGTTAGTTCACCTCTACTCTGGGGAAGAGTTTTGGCCCTCGGATATTCGTCAGCACGTAGAACATATGACTGCGTATGCTGATGACGACCCTATCAATTCGACCGAGAAGTGGACTCTTCATAACTTGCACGAGCTGAATAAGTATTCTGGCAAGATCACTCTCCGAAGCGACGATGATGTTGAGTCTCGCCCAAATTGGCTGCACAGCCATTATAACGTCCCCAAACCGTTTCCTGACGACAAAGACAATGATCAAAACAGCGACACGCCAGTAGGAAACCCCGGGGGGAACCCGAAGCCCGGGAGCCTAGCACCTGGTATGATGTCGACAAAAAACGCCCTGTCCATAAGATTTCTGACCCCAGAAATCGCAAATTTCAGAATCGTCGTCGTTCGGAGTCCAATAGCCACAAACCGGATGCCAATGGTTATTCAACAGCTCCTGCAGTACTTGTAGTGGTTGATAAGGGGTCGGGCATTGTTGACGCCTTCTGGTTCTTCTTCTACTCCTACAACCTCGGCCAAACTGTCTTGAACATTCGCTTTGGTAACCATGTGGGTGACTGGGAGCACTGCATGGTACGCTTCGAGCACGGCATTCCCCGTGGTGTCTTCTTCTCAGAGCATGAGGGTGGGCAAGCGTACGCATTCGAAGCTGTCGAAAAGCGCGGTGAAAGACCCGTCATCTATTCGGCTGTGGGCTCCCACGCAATGTACGCGTTGCCCGGAAACCATGCTTATATCCTGCCATTCAAGCTTCTCAAGGATGTCACGGATAAGGGACCTCTCTGGGACCCCTCCCTTAACAATTACGCATACCATTACGACTACACGAAAGAGAACATTCATGATCTGGACGAACAACACGAACCTCAGAGTCTTGTTCCCGCGGCGTCCAATCCTCATGCACCGACGTCTTGGTTCCATTATCAAGGGCATTGGGGTGACGAAGTCTACTCTCTTGCTGACCCCCGTCAGTGGCGTTTCTTTGGTCAGTATCACTACGTCACTGGTCCAGATGGACCTAGGTTCAAAACTCTTAATCGTACAAAAATGTGTCAAAAGCAGAATTGTAAAATTCTCTACAACCTGGATCCAAAGAACACATGGTACTAGCTAGAGTGGAGATTCGCCAGTCGATTTTGTGTTGCACTGCGTGCAACTGGTGGAAGTGCTATATCGATATCATATCCTTGGTTCTACAAGTCAAAACGGAGTTTGACGGAGCAAACCTCTATGCCGGATTCAAAAGCAGCAATACATACGTGGGTGCATGCTTATCCGCAGCGGGTGAACCCGAGGGCCTTGACTGGAAGGACCGGATTCTTCGGCATTTGTTAGATGGGATACGGCGTTACATCAGGGTTTTTTCTCTTGGGATAGATTTCTTTCCCTCGTGTTTGGTTCGTGAAGAACAGAGCTGGAGGTCTAGAAGGTGCACACTGTTATGTTGGATGGGATGATTATGGACCTTTGATACCCAGATACCACTTTTGTTAGATGCCCAACTTAGATACGTCGAGATATTCCTTTTATGGTTATGAAGTATAGAATTCAAAGTATTGGCTCAGCACCTGCATGGTACCAAGAAAGGATCGATGCCAACGTTTAACAAGTGTCACTGTTGTCGAGGATGTGGACCTGTCGCAACCCTTGACGACTGATAAATGGCACACCAGAGATAAAGTGCGGCAAAAACCAGTATAGCTTTTTCACGGTAGGTGGTGGCATACGTCAGTATCTTGAATCTATTTGATACTTGTGTAAACCTCAAAAGGTTCAAAGTGCTGCAGCAGACTCAGCATAAGCTGTCAGGGCTGTGTCGGCCATTTTAACGCATAAACTATGATGAGACGTTTCGCCTGCTCGCCTCCCAACAATAAGCCATAATGTTAATAACACAGGTCCAGTTTCACTTGTATATGCGTTGCAACTGTGATAGCTGCAGAAGAATCCCAGAAAGGCATACATTTGCGCATGTGGCCCTTGAACTCAGTGTTTACATGAACTTGACCATCTCCGCGCCGCGTAGACTTTGACTCGGTCCGTCTTGCGTTTTGAAGGCAAAGAAACAAGTCAAAGGTCCTTGATATACGTAATAGTCGTCGCTCTTGGGCGGAGTTGAGGATGCCCATGCCAGAGCGGTCAAGGTGATGACCAGCACGGGAGTTACCTGGGGGCTTCGTTCGACGAAAAGCCTCCGGTTGTGTTTAGCAATCGCCTCTCGTGTGTTGCAGAGAACACATAGCACCTAGGAGATCCTTGTCAGTGTAGTAGAGTCTTGTATCAGCCCTGGTATGGCATTCGACTTGAGCAACCCATGGTGAGTAAGTCAGCAACATTATTATCTAATGCCTCGTCGTGATTTCGAGAGTCACAACTGCCAAACGAGCCTGGCACAGTAGCCATGGATGTCAATCATAGCCATATATTGTACGATGTATCGATCCTAGCTCAGCAATGCACATATCACTTCGGCCTGGTTTCGGGCGGTCTCTGAGAAGGTCAATGCCAAGATTTTTGACACGCTTTATATAAACTTACAACTACGATTTGTAGATGTAAGGGGTTATGGATTACTCCGTGGCTTGCGTCTGAAAAATCTATTCGTGTCGAGGAGAAGATCCAGAATGGATGTGGCTAAAGATTCGACAGGATCGTGAGACTGTAATGAATCCATTTATCAGCTTGAACTGACCGATAAATACGTCAGTGTTGGGATGTCGTTGTAAAACCATTTATCACGTCTATATTTATGTTTTATATGTAATCAAATACCACAATTAAAGATGCTTGTGCTTGGTATACCCAAGTATTGTCATCACAAAACGGCAATGTCCTGCTGAGGGCAGTGGCTAGAAACTGCCACTCTACAGATACGCAAACTTTAAACATGATGATATTATGGTACAAATAAGGTTGTGCAGGACGATTTAGTTGGCTGGATACGATCTAGCTCGGGCGTGCTGTTATTCAACGGTGCATATAGATAATCGAGATAGCCACAGTATTAAGCTTTGCTTTATTCATATGAGATCTCGCTTGAGTATATTAACTATAGAGTTATGTAGATCGAAGATGAGCCACTGGCACGGTGTTGAGGATTTCTTGACAATCAATTGAACAACAAGTTGCCGTTACTATTTGGTGTTTGGTGCTGTATTGTGTTGAAAGAATGATACTTCAACAGGCCGATGCCATTATGTCTGTCTCTCGGAAGCTCCGTATCCGAGAACAATCCTTGTTATCCCTTCTCCTTTACTGATTGCTCAAACGGGACATGTCAAAAGAGCCAGACCAGAGCGGCTGCGTTGCCCCTGTTTTCCTGCCATCCTTCAGTATCGATCAATGAAACGCAATCAGACGATGCTGATCTTCGTCGGGAATGGGATTGCTCCTATGTAACGTGGCCAGAGCTTTTGCAAGGTCAAGAGTTGTCCCTTTAGGTTGCCCGAGGTCAAGGAGTTTCACTCAGGCACACGGCAGTGGATTCGGTGTGAGAGCATCTAATCCTCTTTAGATGCCGTTTCCGAATTCCTGTTTTAGCGCTGATATTTGATGCTGTTGGTTGCACCTGATTGCCTATCACCCTATGTTCTCTAGCAGTTGGATGTGGTTGAGGTGATGTGTCGTTGTGGCCTCAGTCGGGCTCAATATTGAGGACGTAGGTTCTCGGGAGGTTTGACTCGTCACAAGTTACAGTATGCAGATACATTGCTTATTCTATGTGCCAAGAGTTTAGTCGAGCTCTTTACGTTGAGGCTTGCGAGAACAATACGGAGGCTGAAATAGACCAACTAGGTAGTTATCGGTTATTGGCCCTACAAGATGAACCGCTACTCAAGTGATATGTGCATCATATGTTTTGGTGTCGCTCAGGCAAAAGAATTCCCCTATTGTTTGATGGAGAACGGTATAAGCGAATAGTCCCTGCAACCGTCGACGGAGATGAGTGGAGGCGCAGCTAGGGAACTGAACCTGGCTCCTCGCAACAGGAACTCGAACTCCTGCAAGCCGAGCAAGGGTCAGGGTTGTTTGTATGTGATTCTTTGCCGTGGAAACCAATGAGAAGAGAGCATCGTGATGAGCTGAGAAAGTGTGCTCCGTATCAGAGCCCAAGTTGTCTCTCTTCTCAACGAAGCTCATAATCGAGCTCAAGCTCAAACCACAATGGGCAGATAGTAATAATTAGTGTCTCCGGATGTTTCTCCCTGATGCAGTAGCGCCTATAAGGGTCAAAATTCTTCAACACAGGCGACGGATCGAGGCTAGCAGTGGATGTGGCGGTCTTGTTGAATAGACAGGGGTCCACCATTGCCGCAACCACCAGAGAACTATCCAAGTTCAGTTAGTGTCGATGTTTCGAAGAACAAGCCGGAAATTTTCAGGCGGGATGGATGGTATTTGTTCTTGCTACGGACGGCTGTGAAGTTTTCGTATGAGAGACTTGGATGAGAGTCAGGTAAACCAGGGGCCATGAAAGGGATTGAATCATTCATTACCCGTAACTTAACCCTGTTATCCTTGGTCGCCTTTGCAAGCAAGCTGCTGGCACGTTGAGGAACGGTTGATTCACCAAGACAGAGTCATGTCGATCATGGATGATGGGCGTTTTTATGGCTTGAGTCAGTGTTCGGTGGCGGCCATCAGTCGCCGAGTTATGTATCAAGAGTGTCTAGAACAGCCTGACTTTAAACAAGAACCACATGGCAAGTTTAAGCACGGGCTTCTATGCATATAAATCCACAGCAAGAAGTAAAGACACAGACCAAAATCTGAAGCAATTCTTTCGATAATCGTGAGCTTCATGTTCAGCTTCGACCTTGAAGCGGCAGCACCGGCATGGCCATTGCATGTCACGGCACCCACTCACACCTCGTGGTGGATGGGGTTTATTATGAGAAGCGACAAGCGACGCATCATCTGTTGCTTCCGGTTCGTGGGGATTGAATTGGATTGTTTACACTGGAGAGGTGCACAGGTACATAGGGTACCTTAGTACTGTCTAGGTACCGTGGTTAAGTGGAGGTTTCTAGCCCCCGGCATGTCTCCCAGAGTCGTATCGCAGCTGGAGATGGAGAATAAAAAAGAAGATCACATCACATTTGACATCTCAACCACCAAAAAAGATGTGGTGTTTCAAGGGGCTTTTGGGCGACTTAGTCGGGTGCCGGGAACGGGGATAAACCTGGGAACGACAAGGCCAGGAGCTGCTACCTGCGACGTACCATTTTGGTATATTCCTGTGACTGTTTTGACTTTCTCTCAACTAGTCAATACCTTGAGGGAACCCAAGAAGCTATCGCCGGGAACGGCATCGTTTAGAAGCACAGATTTCATTGGTGCAGCAGCTTCCTTCCGCCGCCCAGCATCCACTCTCACGCCAGGCCCCCATTTCAGTCCCGCCAGGTGCTGGGCGCTGGGCTAGGCCCCCGGCCACTAAATTATGGAGCTGACCTGGCTGTACGTCGAAGTACAGCTCGCTAGCACAGAACAAAAAGTTGGGTATCGAGACCCTGCACCTTTGCGATAAGCAGCTAACAGACGGGAACCCCAGGGAGCTGTTCCTGCTGTGCCGTTCCGTTCAGTGCCCTGCCCTTGGCCTGGTCCCCAAAGGCTCATCCCGTCATAAATCGTACAGTGACCTCAAGTCAAATTAGCTTCTTTTTCTTTCGCCCATGCCCATGCCCATGTCACGCCTGTCATGGATGTTGTCGTTAATTAATAAATGACCCATCTCTTCTCTTCTTCCCTGTCTCAGAAATACTCTGGCTTGGCTTGTGTTGATTCGCTCTACCTACTGTGCACAGTCCTTTCGCTATCCAGCTCTATCGACTCTTTTCCCCTCCACACCAAACATACGCAACTTAAATCAAAGGCACTTCTTCTGAAGGAACGGGAAACGGATTGCTCTCCTGTCGAGACACTTAATCTTACCACCTACGTCGATACCATCGAGGCTCCTTCACTCGCATTACCCGCACCGATTCTCATATCGAATACATAACTCAAACCCCGAGTATCCGGCCGTTTTCGCGACCTCGTCCGGCGACTCGCCTCATGCTCTTGTAACAGCATTGACCTCAACCGATCTTTAAATATCTTGCTTCAGCTTCTGTTTGATCTGTCTCACTCTACTCGCTTGCGATAACCGAACTGAGTCCCGACTCCATCGAAAGACGGCATCTATTTTCGGCTGTCTTACATCTCTCCTCCAGCCAACCTCACCCTACGCCACAATTCCACCTCAAAACCCCATAATGTGCTTTGGAAGCCGGGACAAGGGTGATCGCGGCCTTGCGCGATCTCGCGATATCGACAAGCAGCTTCGTCAGGATGAGAAGAAGCTATCCAAGGAGGTCAAGCTCCTCTTGCTAGGTAGGAATGGTCTGGCCGCGCTTTGGCACAAATGAGACTGACACGCCATGCGCGCCCAACAGGTGCTGGAGAATCTGGAAAGTCGACTGTTCTCAAGCAGATGAAGCTCATTTACTCTCAAGGTTTCAGCAAAAATGAGAAGCTGGAATGGAAGCCCGTCATCTTTAACAACATCGTTCAGTCTTTCAAAGTTATTGCCGAAGCAATGAACGAGCACGACCTCCAATTCGACACCCCTGACAACGAGGTAAGTCAACTCCTTCTTTCCCACTATGATTGCCGAAACCACTATACTATTGCGACGAGAATTTTGAGTGAGGCGGTTGAGTGAGACATTCCCAGCAACTAACACATGCTACAGAAACATATGGCCCGCATCCTTGTCGACCACGAAATTAGCCCTCACGAACCTATGCCTGCTGATTATCTTGAGCCCATCAAAGCCCTGTGGATAGACAATGGTGTTCGAGCGGCCATTGGGATGGGCAACGAATATGCGTTACACGACAACCTGACCTAGTACGTATTGCATCATGGCATGATTACAACATGAAATTCTTGGCGCTAACGTATCCCAAAGCTTCATTGAGGACATCGACAGACTCTGGGGAGAGGACTACGTTCCCGATGATCAGGATCTTCTTCGTTCGCGATTGCGAACTACTGGTATCACAGAGACCATCTTCGATCTCGGCCAACTAACCTACCGAATGTTTGATGTTGGTGGCCAGCGTTCAGAACGAAAGAAGTGGATTCACTGCTTCGAGAATGTCAACTGCCTATTGTTCTTGGTCGCAATTAGTGGTTATGATCAGTGCTTGGTTGAGGACAAGGATGGGGTCAGTAACGAACAAAACTAGACAGCAAGCTACGAATCACCTGCTAACAGTGACACAGAACCAAATGAATGAGGCACTCATGCTTTGGGAGTCGATTGCCAACTCCCATTGGTTTGCCAGATCAGCGCTGATCCTCTTCCTGAATAAGATGGATCTGTTCAAGGAGAAGCTCCCCAAGAGCCCCATTACGAATCACGGGTTCACCGATTACCACGGACCTAAGGACGATTATAAGGCGGCAAGCAAGTATTTCCTGGACAAGTTCAAGGCCTTGAACCGAAACACCGAGAAGGAGATTTATGGCCATTTCACCAATGCTACCGATACGAACTTGCTCAAAATCACTATGGCCTCGGTCCAGGACATGATCATCCAACGCAACCTCAAGCAGCTCATTCTCTAATAAAGCATATTCTCGACTCGGAACTTGTCATACGGAGACACCCGATATTTATCAAGATATACACGACTATAATGGGGTTTGGACATTCCCCGGGCGATAACTGGGCGACTATACTTCAGCATCATGTCTTCACATACCAGCATCTGGTGAAGATATATCAGTGCTGTCGATCAGGACTGCTTTACTTTCTTCTTCTGGATTGTACTTATTTTAACCTCGTTACCGACTCGGGCCAGTCAAACTTGTGACATGTTCACATGCGCTCTATATATCCCTCTATGCCAATTCACCCAGTTGTCGGAGTCGCCTGGACTCCTCTCACATGGATGCAACACAAGACTTGATTGCCGCCCATGGCAATACTGGGATCATGGTCGGAAGACTTGCCCGGGCCGCAGTGCATAAGTCAAAGCAGTCAGAGACGAGTCATGACTCGCCAAGGCAAAGTCACCAGGCGCATCAGGCAGCAGTGGAACGATAGCGGAACGAGCGGTTTGACCGAATTGTGTTTTTTGTGCATTGCATTGCATGATACCTAAGGCGTACCAGTGGATTCATTTCGGTGTGTGTGTTGTTCAAATCGATTGTTCTAAAAGCAGCAGAGCGGCGGCTAGCCATCCCTTATTTCTTTTAGTGCTGTTAATGAGGCGCATGATATAAAACAACGAGGGGACTGATCGATTGATCGATTATGTACGAATAGATTAGAGTGACATGGATAACATAACTTGATACTCAGGTTCAGATCTTTGGCATCAAGCCACACGTTGTGCACTTATTAACACCGTGACACAAATCTCTCGCCTTGCCTCTGTTGAAGAAACATCTATATGCTATGGCTTTGACCTGGACCTTGACAACAGCTGTTGCATATCCGCGGCCACATGGCTGCTCGGACCATGTGTTGTGAGGTGTTCGCTAATGTTCGCTAATAGAGGTGGAAATTCGATCACGATTTTAGGGTCTCGTGTTTTCTTTTGTCTCTGGTAGGTTGGCTGTGTTTGAGATTAATGCAGAAGGATTCAAAGAAATTGTCCATGGAAGATGATGGTGTATGGATCATACATAGGTGACAAGGGTGTTGGAAGTATAAACTGAGACTGACCTGGGTTGTGATATTAGATTCTCGGGGTCGATTTGATTGAGAACTGCCCCCCTACCTCGGCATTGAGCATGCTGCTGCGACACCTTTGTATCGAGAATATGATGATATTGAATGATGTGTTCCCAGGGCCTGGTTTTAGTAATGCGCCTAAGGTACGTAGGCCAGCATACCAAGATGAGTATAGACAGGCAACTTGGATATGACTGTTTGGCATTTAGGTATAGGAGGATTGCTGTGGTTGTGTCATGTAAGGAACCAGTGTTGATGGACTTGTTGAAGCCGTGGGCTTAGTAATTGAATCGGGTATATCACTCTCGACCGTTGAATGGGTAACTTGTTATGGCATATCTCTTATAATGTTTGTCCCAAGTAACTAGATCGCATCTTACAGTACCTCGTCTAGCTCATTTACACGCTCCTATCGCAGCTCCATGAGCGGGTCAGCACTCTGTAATTCATAAGTTATGATTGGTGCAGGTTTATTAAAGAAACTGTGATTTTGTAACTACAAGCAGAACGAAAGAATTGGATTTCAAAGTTTTGTTCATCTACCAAGTAGAGGTAGAGCCTTGTATACCTACCTGGGGTAGGCAATCAATAAACGTGAAGCCATCCATAGGTTCGCCTGTGAGGTATAGTATTTGGATGTGCACTGAGAATTCCCTTACTGACATGGGGTTGAAAAAAATACACGGTATACACTACCTATGTTGCAGTACCTGTACAGAAATATCATTTGACCTAAAGATTGGATAAACCAGAGTACCGTAATACAAAACAACCTATTGATAGCTTTAGCGCCACTGCAGATCGTTGCGGTTTCATTACAGAGTTCTTGTGCCACTTATTTTTGTCCCCCGCACCTTGACAACTTCAACAACTTTTTCTGCCTCCTCCAGTCAACCTCTCGTCCTCAACCTCATACACAACCACAACCTACAAAAGGCGTACATGCTCCGTCGCCTCTTCACCACCATGGCCGAATCAGCATCCAAGCGCGTCAAGACCACGGGCAACGGTCCCCTCATCGGCACTCACAATGGCCACTTCCACGCCGACGAGGCCCTCGCCGTCCACATGCTCCGCCGTCTTCCCGCCTACTGCGATGCCTCCCTTGTCCGCACCCGCGACCCTGCCGTCCTGGCTACCTGCCACACTGTTGTCGACGTTGGCGGCGAGTACGACGCTGAGAAGCGCCGTTTCGATCATCACCAGCGCGGATTCACAACTACCTTTCCCGGCCGCCCTACAAAGCTCTCCAGCGCCGGTCTTGTCTTCCTGCACTTTGGCCGCGCCATCGTTGCTGAGCGCATTGGACAACCTGAGGACTCTGCCGATGTTGAATTGATCTACAAGAAATTGTACGAGAACTTCGTTGAGGCCCTCGACGCCCACGACAACGGTATTTCTGTTTTCGACCCTGCTGCTATCGCCGCTGCGGGTCTTGAAAAGCGCTTCAGCGAGGGCGCCTTCGGTCTTGGTGCCATGGTCGGACGTCTGAACCCCAAGTGGAACGACCCTACGCCATCTGACCCCGCTGAGGCTCAGGCAGCTGAGGATGCCAAGTTCAATGAGGCCAGCAACCGCATTGGTGAGGAGTTCGACCGAGATCTCGACGGCTATGCCGGTTCTTGGCTCCCTGCCCGCACCATTGTCCAGGAGGCCTTCACCAAACGCACACAATACGACGAGCAGGGCCGTCTTCTTGTCCTCGAGGGCCAGTCTGTTCCCTGGAAGGACCACCTCTATACTCTCGAGGACGGTACTCCTTCGGTGCTCTACGTTTTGTACGCTGAGAAGCCTGAGCCTGGCGCCAAGTGGCGCATCCAGTGCGTTCCTGAGAGCAAGGACTCTTTCGTCAGCCGAAAGCCCTTGCCCGAGGCATGGAGAGGATTCCGTGATGCTGAGCTAGATGGCATCAGTGGCATTCCTGGCTGTGTCTTTGTTCACGCAGCTGGCTTCATTGGTGGCAACAAGACATTCGAGGGTGCCAAACAAATGGCGCTCAAGGCTCTGGGGGCTTAAAAAGAGCATCACCATCTAGAAACCAATGGGTGTATGAACATTTCTACGAGACCACGGACAAATACAAAATTTCCGGGGAATACTACACGCGAAGACGAAAGGGGAAAAACAGGGAATGGAAATAGAAAGGATGCTTCTGAAACAAAGCAGGTAGCTAAACGACCAAATGAACATGATAAACATTTGCGGAGAGTGTGATGTTTCGCCCTGCCGCTGTCAAACAACCTATCCGATGATTCCAGATCGAGATATGTCCCCCCCATGTGTGCGAGCCAGATTGTCTGCCAATTCCCAAACGCCAACTGTGCGATCCTCGTAAGTCGTCAAAACCGATTTCGCAATCCACTGCAAGCCCACGCACAAGGCCTTGTACAAAAGAAACAAACGTTTCATGTTTTGCGAGACAAAAGTGAAAAAGACTCTTTCTTTGTTCCTGCTCCGCCGCACTTTTCTTTTACCATTCTCACGCAACGCTCTATCGTCGGATTGGGATGCCCTCACCGCCAGCGGCAACAGGCTCAGGTATAGCAGCGTCTGTGCCCTTGAGCTTGTCGGCGTCATTACCCTCGGTCTCGTCGGCGCTGGTCTCGCTCTTGAGGAAGCTGCTCTCCTTGATAGGGCTGCCAGCCTGGATGCCGGGCACGGAGCCGTGGTGGGCGTGCTTGGGTACGTTGGCTCCGGAGCCGTTCACCGGGGAGGAGAGGTGGGGAATGTTCTCGGGGACCGGGTGCTGAGAGCCGACGGCACCGGCATCAACGCCGTCGCCCTTGCCGGCCTTGGACATGGCATAGTCGCCCGAGTCGAAGTATTTGCGGTCCTTGAGATGCTTGGCGAAGTGGTCGGAGCGAGAGGGCAGCTTGCCGTAGAGGCGGAAAAGACGCTGCTCCTCGGGAGTGAGTGACTATAACGTGGGGCCGGCGTCAGCAAGATATTCGATACGTTTGAAGATCGTGTCGGTGTAGATGTTGCGGAGAGGGATTGGTGTTGACGGATATCATGGTCATCGAGTCATGCATGGAGGGGAGCTCGAATCGCCTGAGGTTGGTCTCCAAGGGCGGCTTACCTTGACGTCGACCTTGTTCTTCTGATGAGGGTTCATAGCGAAAGAAGTACTGCTGATATGCTCAGACCGGGATCACAAGTGACGTGAGGATCGAGTAGAAGGGCAAATGTGTGCAGTGCTCTCTTGGTATTTAGACAAGTGAAAGGTTCGTTTTGAAAGGGATCAAGATCGAGCGAGACTGGCGGGGGGATTTGTTGGAGGAGCCACAGGGTCGCAGGTGGTAGCAGTAGCGGTAGCGGTAGCAGCAGGGGATTAGGGATTGGTGATTGTGCCTGATTGGGGGGCTCGAGAGCAGTTGGGTATGATGTAGCTGAGAGCCTGAGAGCTTTAGTGGGGTTATAAGTTTCATACGAGTTACAAGGATGCCCGCTTGTTGCTTAGCTGGGCTGGGTTGGTGAGGTGTATGAAGATAGAGGGGCGGCTGCTTAGCTGTATACACGTCATAAGCGCATGGGGTGAAACGTGGACAGCCAACTCGATTTTGATGTGTACCTCTATTTCTACGAGGCTCGTGTTTATCTCTTCATGGGGATGATCCGTATCTACGCTTATCTTTTCTGAAAGAGTGACAGCATGTGCGTTCTCTGCTGTCCCATTTCTTTACTTTCACGTGTCGATTCAACTACAGCTTCACTCTCCAACGGCCAATATCAGCGCGTGATAAACTTACTGTACATGGGTGGCGACGTCAAATACTCAACTTCCATCAAGCTGCACCCGGCAACACAGTATCATCGGGTAACTACAGCAATGCAAAGATCCTCGCTGCATAAAATATGTCCATGCCTTTGCCCCAAGGATGACGGTGACCCATGCTTCTTTGCTTCCTGGTTAGGTATTGCTTATCCAGCAGAAATCGCAACAAGCCTTTCACATATAGTTTTATGGGTCGATAGTGAACTGCACGAAAGAACATTCTCACCGGGGTATCGAGAGTGACATTGACAGTACCCCGAAGTCACCAGGATCGTCAGGGCGACTTAC